AACCGTGAATTATATATCTATATGTGTGTGTATCTATCTATAAACACATAAAATAAAAAGTATCTGAAGAAGCATATAAATAGAAAATTTATTCAAGCGCAGTTCAGATTCAGATCGGAGTTTGTGTAGCGTTTCCTTCTCTTTATAAGTTTCCTTTGAAGGTACCTGCCTGCGCACACCCATGCCAAATATGAGAAGAACTGCTTTAAATTTGGCCAAATCGTGCCTACGTATGAGAGGCAGCGAGTAAAACGGAATATATTTGAGATATGCATGCAGATCCTTGTGTAAGCGGCGTTCATCTAAAAATAGCTTAAATTACAGATGTTCCACATAAAATACAACAACGTGCAGGAACTGAATGTTCCCAGCCAACAGCCAAACTAAATGAAATCAAATCGCGTACCAACGTTCAAGCCATTAACCATTGTTTTGAATAGGAACGTTCGTACATGTTGCTGGAGCCTCTTCGAGCATTAACCAAACAATCTTTGTTATGTATTATTTATCTTTTTTTTGTGTTTTATTTTTTAGTAATTTGATATTTTCCATATGCACTTTCGTTACATTTTAAAACGACAGCACCACTGTTTCCAAACTCCAATGTCTTATTTTTCCTACATGGGAAAATGGTTTGGAAAAATTTTTTGTTAACGGGGAGGGTTGGAAATGTTGCTATTTTTAGCTGTTTTATGACAGATACATATACGTGGTAGTACAGATCCAAAACAGTAGACGGTAGATTTACATTTCTAAACATCTAAATTAATTCAGAGATACACAGATACATTTGTCAAACTGTACATAAAAGCGTTTGAAATGTCATTACATTTTAAAGCATAAATAGAATGGCAATTAAACCAGCCGAATCTGGAAGTATGTGTGAGTTTAGATATCAAAATGAACCGTAAATAAAACTAAATAATTTTAAAAATTTAATGAAATAAAATTTCAGAAAGAGTATTTTCCTTTTAAAATAACCAAGAATTTAGTTTTGTCTCACATGATACTGACTTAGTATTTAGGGTTTCTTTTTAACATTGAATTGAAAATCAGCTTCAAAAAATTCTCGATTTTATGTAAGAATATTACAAGAACTAAGAAATCAGTGGAGCAGATGTTCTACTACTGTTCAGCACTGATTAAAACAGAACATAAATTTCACAAAATTTTCTTTCATGACCAACATTACAATCATACGCCTTTATCTCTTAGATTCAATGCTAACTCAAGTCATGCTTAAAGTCATCAACTTTGCTTAATTCATACTTAGGCCAGTTTTGAGATATAAGTAACGACTTTGAAATCTGCCCTTAAATAATAAATAAAGCTAACATTTAATATGAATGAAAACTCTTGCGAATAAAACTACTTATATACTTACAGGGTAATTCTGGCAAAGATTATTAAAAGTCTTTCAAAACATTTTTAAAATATAGAATGAAAGACTGTTCTAACGATTTTTGCTATTCTGGCAAAAAAGTCTTTCAAAAAAAATGTAATCATCTGTAATTCGTGGTGAAAAGCTGAAAGCTGGTCAGGTGAAAGATCTGTTCCAAAGTTCCAGAGCTGGCCCCTAAATCACTCCCCGATCATTGCTTAAAAACAGAGTTTTTTTGAAGATATTTCCTATTTGTTACCAATCATATGTGAACTTTTCAATTTATCTAGCATTTTTTGATATAAATACGAAAAACTCTCTTGTATGAAGCTACATATAAACTTAAACAGATACATAATAATTATGGTCTATGTCTAAAAAATAGTTTTTTATGTGTTTTTTTGCTGTGTATAATTTGCCAACTATAAGAAGTACTCAACATAGACATGCAAAAACAACTAAGCCATCACGGCTAAGTTATAATATAAGATAATATAAGCTAAACCAATATAAGACTATTATATTGGCTTAGCTTTTTAGCCGCGAAAGTGTTGCCACATTTCCATATTAAATGAAATGTAGAAGTAATAATACTGACTTAATACATTTTGCTTAAAATGTAAACATATGCTGAATCGAGCAATGTCAACAGTTAAATGCAATCATATAATTTAATTTATAAGTTAAGTGGGTTAGCAAATTAAACAAGCTAACCACGTAGCTAAGAACTTCTCAAATATAAACCGTGAAATCTTTAAACACCCATAATCTAATTACATGCATATTATTAATTACTTATAAAGTTTCGCTGTTTCGTGCTGTGGTCCAAATAGATCTATTATTTTTGGGGAAATCTGCTTCAATTTTTTTTCTTGCGTTCCATTTAACTCTACCGAGTGAGGTGAGCGGCACTTTATCTTCGATGGCGAGTGATTAGGAGGTGTAGGCCGATCGCTCCTGGAACCATAAAAGTTTGTTTAAGCGAGTCAGTAGAGTAGCAAATAAAATTTATAAAGATTACTACTTATCGCCACACTAATATTATAACAAAAAATTTACCTAGTCTTTGTTAAATTTCTAAAATCTATAAAATAAATCAAAGGGACACAAATACTGTACTAAAAAATCTACAGGACTTTTTCTACAAGAAATCTAAAGGACATGCACTTTTTAAACTAAACAATAATAAATGTAAAACAGATTTGGTGTTCAAAGTAACCCAATTTAATTACAACAAAACTGATGACAATAATGTATCCATATTTCAGGAATAATATCAAGGAATAATATTCCTAAATTAATTATAGTACCAATTCTACTTTACCGAATGGTATTTCCTTATCCGATATAAAATATACAGCTAGGTATTTCCATCTCTTATGCGAAGCGATTATGTAAGCGGTTTTGTTCTGATAAGCATATAGACTATAGGCTTCAAAAAGGTTTATGTGTTTCTCTTCTTCTTCTGAAGAAAGTACCACTTCTGAGTATACAAACACACAGCAATAAGACTGGTGCTTTTCTGTCAAGTGTGTCATTTCCTTGTCAGAAGAATTGAAGAATTTACACTACGACCTTGAGATCTGTCGTAGCTCCTTCATATGAAGTTAAAGTATAACTTCAAATCCATATTCTAAAATGAACATAAAATTATTTATTCTGTGATAGAAGAGCGCATTTAGGTCCTTTTTTTATAATGTATCAATGTCGAGCAAACTCTTGGTACATGTTTGAAGGTCTTATGTTCTACCCTCAAATGCGATCCATAACTTAACATAACGTAACTTAAAGATCTCCAGCTTAACATAACACTCAATCACCTAAAACTCTTAAGATCCTCACTTCACTATATCTAAGAATATTTAGTTTATCAAGTTTTGATGTCACCTTACAAAAATATTGCTTACTGACTATAAATCTTCTAGTTCCCAAGAATGCTTTAAGGCAGCCTACAATTAAACTGCTCTAATAGTGTCAATAATCATTACAATTATACCAGAAGTGATTTAATATTTTGCAAATAACCTAAATTTAAAATATATGATACTAAATTAGATTATCGTTATTTACAACATTTTTTCTGGAATGAATAAATGCTTATTTACTTTAAAACTATCTTCAGTAATTTCTTCGCAAAAAAAATAAATAAATTGGTCACTAAAGGGTTAATTATACTGTGATTCTGGTAGAATTATAGAATAGATCTCTTTAACATTGTGTTAATTTCTATTTAACTGATACTCTGAATTTAAATTAAATTAGATAAATAAATTTGTTATCATTTTTTTGATTAATATTTGATATTAATAATTATTAATAATATTATTATTAATAATTATTAATAAGTAATAATACAAATAATTAATTATAATTAATAATTGATAATAATTAATTATAATTAATAATTGATAATAATTAATTATAATTAATAATTGATAATAAATAATAACTATTCTTAATCAAAAAAATTATAACAAATTTATTTATCTAATTTAATTTGAATTCAGAGTATCAGCTAAATAGAAATTAACACAATGTTGAAGAGATCTATTCTATAATTCTACTAGAATCACAGTATAATTAACCCTTTAGTGACCAATTTATTTATTTTTATTATTTTTATTTATTTTTATTAATTATTTATTTTTATTAATTATTAATAACTATTAATTACTAATTTTTCATAATTAATTACTATTAATTATCAGTTATTCTGCTAATTAAATTATTAATCTTTTAAAATAAACTCATTAACCATAAATAAAATAGAAACTTCATTCTATATTATAGATTTCAGATTCGTATTAATAGAAGGTAACACATAGAATATATACACATGTCTATGTGTTCTACTTTTTATGTCTCACTTGCAACAACAAAGCAATGACCTAAAATTACTAAAAAAAAAATTTTACATGAAAGTAAATTAGGTACAATTTATTAATAATTTAATTTAATAAATATTAATTTAGTAACATCGACAACAACAACAACAGCAACAAAACGAATTATCTTAAATGAAATCTACAAATTCCATGATTTCCTCAATAATTGACTGTACCCACGTTTATTTATTTAAACTGATAACGAAACATGGAAAGACGAAATCATCACTTAAGCCACAAAATAGTGTCAACCATTGAAAAACAAAGTCTAAGTGAGAGCAACCGAGCAGGCGAGCGTTTATTGTGAGCAGCGGGCATATGGATTGAAAAACAGCAATATGCGGGCACAGGGAAAGCAAGCAAACAGGCGGCGGCAGGCAGATGATAAATTAAAATGGACCAAGTTTACTAAAGCAGCAAAGGCAATTACAAAAACAGCTACAACGAAATAATGAAATGGCAAAGTATTAAGCCTGCAATGAGTAAGTAAGCACGCAAGCAAGCAAAGAGCAGTAAATAAAATCATTTCCTATCAGAATAAAAACACAAACAACTACATTAGCATAATAAGATGATATACAATATAGTATAAGTGAACACAGTTATGATCATTACCATAAAGAACGAACAAAAATTTCAAGCGTCAACGGCAACGGCAACTACAACGACAACGTTCGCATCAGCAGTAGCCTCAGCCGCAGTCGCAGTAGTATAAGTACCAACAACAATAACAGCATCAACAATAGCCATCAGTATTAAACATTAAAAATATAATTGGAAACGGCGATAAATGCAAAAAACCAGGGTTAAAACATTTACGTTAATACATCTCGTGTAGAATTGCAAATGTAAGTTTGTATTGGTATGAGTGAGCTCAATTACTCTATATGTATGCGTTTTGTCCACATACATATGTATTTATATTTTAATGTACAAAGAGGGTAGCAGCAATCAAAGGCGATTAAGTATAAACAGACGCATACTTTCCATGCAAACACGTACTATATATCAACGTTTTTCATACAAATAAGTACAAAAACGTACACCACAATTGTTGCTGACTGTTTGTCTGTTTGTCACTGTTGACTGTTGTATGTATGGATGTGTGTGTGTATGTGTCTGGCATATGAATTTGTATTTTGATATGCAAGTACTTTTGTGATTTAATAAGCAAATGAGCTGAAAATTGTAGCAAAAGACGAGCCAAGCAGCTACGGCAATACAACGAAACAAGCGCGGAAGAATGTGTAAAGAATGTGGCAGTGGAGCATGAGGAATGGAGCAGGCGCAGGCAGACAAGCAAACAACTGTAGCAGGCAATAAATGAAGAACAAGAACACAAGCAATTCTGTTCAGTTCAGCTCAGCTCGGCTCGGCTCGGCTCGGCTAGTAGTAAATGGCAGATGGACAGCAGCTACGAAAATACTCATGAAAATTATTTGTTGGTTACTTGGCTTGGTTTGGTTGACTTAGTTTTTACTGGGGATTGGATCGTGAAGCTAATATTGTCGTTATGAGCAATGCTCGATTTGTTTGAGTTTGGCTTGGTTTATTTCAATCGCGTCATAACTGGGCGTATACCATATATACATTTATTTTTTTTTTGGTTTTTTTTTAATTTTTTATTATTAGCGTACATTAATTTTTTTATTTTATTAAAAAATTGCTCTTTATATGTACATTAATTTCTTGATAGGCCAAACGTAAACGGGCAAAATTGCATCAGCCATATTTATTCTGTTCTGTTATGAGAGACATACATATTTATGAGTATAAAAAAAAAAATATTTCTGAACCATATTTCCTTGCTAATCTTTAGAATTCATATTACATTACAACCACCAATTTGTGGGAACTACGGAAATTATTTATGTAATAAACTTTTTTTTCAATATTTGGTCGCGAAAGAAGTGCAGTAAATAGATCTATTCAAAAAATCTAGGTGTGTGTTTATAACAAAACAAAGACATAATATAGATATATATTCGGAACTATAGAAAATCTTGTATATATACAGATAGCAAGATAATATAATAGATAGCAATTGATGATATTGATATTTATGTGTTTATAACAGAACAGATCCAAAATATAGCACAAAATTTGAGGAACTACATATATTGATATTGTTAACAAATTTCTAAAAAATGCCTGATTATAATATAATTTTTAAAGAAATTATAGCATTTAATTATGTAGAAAACTTGCCGATCAATGGTATTACTAATAAAATTATCTCATTCTACTGTTAGTATATCCCCTTGAAAGTCATTATAAGACCAATAATCTTTTAATAGTGGGCTTTGCAACACTTAGATTTATGCGGCTGTATAATAACCAACAGTATTAAGTGAATCTCTAAAATAAACCAACAATGGCGTTACTATCAAAAGTATATCCGTTTGTTACAAGATCTTCCCATAAAAGTTATTATAAACTGAGTAAATGTGTTTTATAACAATGAATAAACCAGCAATTCCAAGAAACCAGCAATCTCTAGAATAAACTAGCCACGTTATTACTCACAAAAGTACTTCAGTAGGCTGCAACACTTTTCATTGAAAGCCATAATAAGATAATATACCTAGATTTATGCGGCTTTATAATAACCCAACAGTCCTAAGTAGATCTCTAGATCTCTAGAAAAAATATAATAACGTAGTCAGAATCAACTCAAAATAGTGTTGAACCCACGAATAAAATATATCCATGCGCACAAGAAACAATAAACAATTTTTTTTTAATAAATTATGATAGCCATTTAAAGCAGACTCTCAAATTAACGAATATTTGAACTGATTTGAAATTAACCCGATATAATGAACCTCTATATTCACGAACGATCCAAAACTTACTATAACAAATTTAACAAAAATGGTTTCTCTAAACAACTAATGTCGAATATACTATAAAATGCATTCAAAGTTACGAAAAGGCTTGAAATAATATATTTCGTTAGACCAATATTCTATTATAATAACTTGTTTAAATGGTAAATATAAATCAAGATATTTTTTTTTAATTAAAATTGGCTATCATTTGTTTAAACAAACGAAAGAAACTCTAAATTGATCGGTATAAATAGGTTTTGAAATAAATACATACGTTGACAAGAGTAATAACTAAATTCAGATCAATTGTTGATTCAGATTATCTTTTAATCAAATTCATGCCGTGTGAATAGGCAATAAGGCTATACAACCCGAAAAAAAATATTTGTTGTTATTATTGCGATTCAATAATACCGAGAATATTAAAATCTGATTCTGTTGCAGAAGTTTATTTTAACTTTATTAAAAATACATATATGTTAATTTCAATGTGATAAAAATTAAAGGTCTCTGCAGACCTTTATATCAAAAAAAATTACACTTAATTTAATTTTTTTTTTTGGAAATTCAAATTCAGTAACTAACACATATATAACAATAAATATTAAATATCAAACTATAACAAATACTAATATTTATAATTTCATCATTTTTTTTTTAAATTTACTATATATTTTTTCAAAACTTTCAATTATTTTCTACATTTTTTCTAACTAAACTTTAGAGTAACTAATTTTAATTCCTAAGTCATATTAAAAATTATTTTAATTACTTTATATTCATTGTATTATAATTATCCGATATCAGTATTTCCTCTGCTGAAACTCAATATTAAAAGAGAGAATCAAAAAAGCTCATATTTGCAGAAGGAGCTAACTTGCACCTTTTATCGTGGAAATATAGTAAGCTTTTTCTCTCTCTCTACATAAATAGCGATATATCTGACTACATACATATACATTCCTATTCTCTATCATATCCCAAGTATGCTACTATATTAACCAATTGTAATCATATGTAATCATAATATAATCGATTTTCACTATTACTACAAATATTTCATATCAGTAAAATGAAAGTGCATGCAATTTGCTAACCAAGTCAAGACGTACTAAATTTGAAATATATATACCTATATATCATGCGTAAAATATTAGACCATTAAAGTTACTAGAGGGCAGCTATTGCTTTAGCTATAATGACGAATTAGAGTTATTGGCGTTAGCTAAGATTATCACCTACTTTATGAGGTCTTAATCTATACACTTTCAAAGAAAATTTGGAATATTGAGGAACAGGTAGACCAAGACATAAATGGATTGGTGTTTTATAGAAACGAATAAGTACGATTAACATTAGTAATTACACTGGAGGAGTATATAACAGAAATAATTGTAGACGCAGACTGAGGGAAGGTTTGACCCACGTCTCAGGGTTATGGTTTAAATAATAATTATATATAGATAAAATAAATAGATAAAAAGATGTTTTAATTTATTTTTACAACTAAAAATATATATAAATATATGCGCAGATCATAGCAAAACTACAAAACAATCTATCAAGTTAGATTCACACCGAAGAATATGTAGAATATATGTAAGATATTCTACCAGCAATTATAAAAATTAAAATAAAACAATAAAAATGTGAAAAATAGTTGCAAAGCGATATTTTTGAAAATTTAATTCAATAAACCTGCGAAGGTTAAATATTGTTTTCGCTTATGTGACTCATTAAGAACAGACTTATTTTTCAATATTTATAAGTATATATATATATAAATAAATATAAATATGTGTTTATAATTATTGAATGATTCTATAGTTTAAATATACACCTATGTATATATATTGTAAAATATGTATATATAATTATTTATGACAAAATAAATAGATTTGCTTAAGCCTTGATCAATTTTCAATACCCTTCACACAATTATTTATATAACAAATTAAATAATAAATTTATAAACTATCTTTGCACTTAAGTTATCCACTTACAAATAATTTTCAGTATAGACCTAATATACATTCCTTTATATAAATAAAAACCCTCTTTGTTCTATTATATTTGGGCATTATACAATAAAATCACACAATTTAATATATTTCTTGATCTGATTTTCTTAGATTTACAAAATATTCGTAGATAGTATCATATGAAGAGCTTAAAAATGACGAAACAAGTTTACATACAAACAGTAAAACAGGAAGTCTATCAGACAGTTATACTATTATTGTTAATCTGATTTTTAACCATAGATTAGCACACTATTTATAATATTGAATTGTCTTCAAATTTAATTTTATTACTTAAGATATATATTGAAAAAACTAATGAAAGGATGAATAATATATTAATATTAGAAAGAATCCAAACGAAACATAACTTTAAAAATAGTTATTTATTTGCAATTATATGCGTTGGTAAAAATAGAATAATAACAGAGATCTATAAGTCCCAATTTTGTTACACAATTAAAGCTCGAACAAAGCCACCAGCAATAGTTAAGACTTGCAAACTAACCAAATCGTTTGAACCCGTACACAGAAATTAAGATCTTTGAACATCTAACTCTGAACTAAATTCAAATTGTATAAAACTAATATTAGTCACACTTTTATTTAGAGTACGAATAGAAGCACCAACAATACTAGAAACTTACAATCTGAGCAAATCTTTACAAATTTTATTAAATCTCCTAAATCTTCGAGCATAAGACTCTGTACGAAAATAAAATTGTTTAACACTAATGTTAAAGTCCCAGTTTTAAGGGTACGCAGTAAGAGTAGGTATAGAACACTCAACTCAATTCCAAAACCGAGTTATATAACAAGACTAGGAGGGGTTCTAAGAGCGGAACCACTAATTAACTTCGACAACCAGGTGGTGTTCATCATCCCAAAAAAGACAATATACCAACAGTTACGTGTTTTGTTTTAATATTTAGCTACTCGATAGATCTCAGCGGGTTACTACAACATATTATGTAGGTACGCAAGGAATATCACTAAAGAAATGCTATTCCCAATGTGGGGAAAAAAACCGAACGTTTAGACATAAACACATATAAAAAACAAATTAAAGCAGATTTTATGAGATAAAATAAATATATACATTATGTTATATTTTTAATATATATAATATATATTAAACATATTTTTTATTCTGAATTATACATGTATATATTTATTTATATATATTGTACAATTAATAAAATATTAATGAAGATTAATCAAATTAATAATTAATATTTAATTTAAATTAATGAAATAAAAATTAATAAAAAAATTAAATAATAAAAAATATGTTAAATATATTTTAAATATTTAACTAAGCCGCATTCAGTAACTCAGTATTCAGTAAACTTTGCTATGAATTATCGAAAATGACCAAATACCAAATAATCGAGTTTGGTCTGAACATCCTGTTACCAGAATAACTAGAAACTGTATCATTAAGAACTTTTATATAAATATTTGGAAAAATCAATATCATATTAATTTCGTTCAACTTTTAAAATTATTATATATTATATTCTATTAAATTACTTATAGATAAAATTATATATTATTATTATTATATAATATATTATTATTTATAATATTATAATTATTATGAATGTATTTAATTATATATTTTTTATTTTTATATATATTATTTATATATTAATTACTAATAGTTAATTTTATATATATTTATCTAAATAATTTTATTTATTATATATATTTATAATTATTATATATAATCGTTTTATAATTATTTATATTATTTATAATTTTTACAATTTATTATAATTATTACATATTATTTTATAATTATTATACAATATATTATAATTATTATATAATATATTATAATTATTATACAATATATTATTATTATTATTATATAATATATTTTAATTAATATATATTTTAATATAATAATTAATAATTAAACTATATTTTATATAGTTAATATTAATTAAATTAAGCAATTCATAATATTAATTAATACATTCGACAAACACTGGAGTACTACTAACTAATTTTCAAAACAAAACACTCTTTCTACATAAAAAAATAATTAAAACAGTTGGCAATGCTTGCCTGATGCTTATTACAAAAACAAAACAATGCAAAATTCTAAAATAAAAGTGCATAAAAGGCAAATAAAAAAAATCAATAGAAAGAGCAACTAAGAACGTACGGAGATTTATCTCCATTTCTTTTTTATTCTATATTTTAATGTTCAACTAATTTGCAATAAAAATCTAATGACTTATTTTCTATGAATTTGGCATTATTTTCATACTCACTTTCGTTCCCTGATAACATCGCGTAAGAAATCCATAGCTTCGTAAAGGCTCCATTTTGGTTTAAATCCGTTGCCCATGATCTTGACGTGCGCTAACTCACGGCGATAAGATTCACGTAAAGACTTGAATGCACGCGCTACTCTACGTCCGGGCGCATTGAAATGCTTACCAATCTGTTCCCAAGCACGATTCTTCTCCTCTTCAGCACCTTTGAAGTTTGGTAAGCGTGAATCCCAGAGTATTGGATTATCATGTACCATTTGGATCAATTTCAATTTGTCGGATGCGTTACGGCGAACCACTGCAAGTAAATCGAGGGTAAATAAAAATGTTTCTTTCGTTGTTGGATAAAGTTGTTGTTGTTGTTGTAATGCAATTTCTGTTTTTACTGTTTGTTCAATTCTATTTCTAGCTGTCCTAGTAAATGGTTTGCCAGTCACCAGTAGTTTTGTTGTTGTTGTAGTTGTTTTTGGTTTAGGTTTAGGTTTAATTATTGTAGTAATACGATTATTCGTTTTGCTAACATTTCTTAGAGATTTCGGTAAAATATTTATAAAATTAACTTTTTTATTTTTCAACGCACATTTTTTTATTTTCTGCTGTGATTCCATCAGTTCACCTTTTGGTTTCATCTCTGCACTTAAATCAGTTGGAGCAACGCTCATATCGTCTTCTGGTGCAGATGGTGGTGGTGTTCTGCTTGCCGGTGATGTACTACCGCTTTCACTGGTTTCCATAAACGCTTTTTTTTATTTCTTATACTTTTTTTCTTCTAATATTTTAAAATGAAATTGTAAATTAAAATAAAAAAAATTATTCACTTCTTGCCAAAACTGTTTTTGTAAAAAAAGTTTTTTTGGTTTTGTCAATAATCACAGATTTTTCATGTACTTAATCTGATCAAGTTAAACGGATCGTTTTAATATTTTTCTACGCACACGCAGTCAGGCTTATTTCACTTTGCTACCCTCTCACGACCAAGTTTAAAAACCAACTAAACCAAAAACCACCCGAACCCGACACTAAAACACAAGCAAAAAATATGGGAACACAAAATCACGCTTAAATAACATCGCAAAAGAAAACCCCTCCAAGCGCACTCAGCAACTGTCTTAATTTTATGCTTGCGCCGCTATGCTTATTGCTTTTTTCGCCTCTCTCTTGCTTTTGGCTACATTCGCGACTTTTTTGTAAGCCGCATTCGAAAAGTAAGAACACACACCAGAGAATTTGACAAACAGAAAATTTCAGTACAGCAAATAGCCAAAAATCCCTACAATACAATACCCAGTCATGATGATATGAATATGAACTGCACACACGTACACATACACACACACAGAACTCATTGTAAATAATTAATTTGTTATGATCAATTTTAATTCTCTCTTGCTCTGTTCTCACTGGACTTGGCACAGCACATCACGTTAATATATTGCCACTGCTCTTACGCTCAAGTGGTGTATGCACGATAATGAATAATGCATGGAGAAAGGAATTATATAAAAGAAAATCCGTTAGAACAAAACGTAAGAGAAAGATTTTGCTTTGTTTAGAATTGTGTGAAATATGAAAAATGAATATAAATAGAGCAAATTTTGTAACAGTGGAAAGTA